CAGGGAGGCCGGGCTGGCGCTGAGCGCAGGAGTCCTGGTGTCCCTCCTAGTGGTTCCGGGAAAGCGAGGGTGGAAGCTGACGGTCATCCCCCTCCAGGATCTTCCCAACGCCGAGCGGCCCTTCCGTCTGTAAAACGAGAGGGCTGGCCCAGAACGACCATAGAGGCTGCTCTCAAGACTCCAGGTCTGCAATTGTCGGCCCTCAGGCCTCAGTGCTGTGTCTCTCCTTGACCAGGGAGGGCTCTCGCCTGGGGGCACCCCGGCCCCCAACCCCGGAGAGCTACAGGTCTGCTCTGGCCATTTCTCCGCCCCAACAGGACTTGGGCAGAGATCACCCACCTGCCGTTCCAGGCACTCAGGTCGACATCAAGCATCACCCCTCTCTCACCCGCAAACTGGAGGCAGGAGGGGAACCATCGTCTGATGCCGAGATACCTCCAAAGCCATCCTTCTAGCAGGATCTGGCTTATCTCGGCAGGCAACTCCCACCACTGCAGCCTGTAAACACTCTGCTTTGCTCAAGGTCTCAGAGGAAACCAGGCTGCTAACCCATGGTCCTGGGATTGCTGGTAGACTGGGATGAGCCCTGGGGCTGGATCCTTGAATTTCGCGACATGGAGGCCAGGAGCATTCTTGGCAAGAAAAGCTTTGGACAAACATTGGGAGTCAAAAGCCAGATTGGCACGGATTCAAGAGAGGATCTCTAAAGGAGAAAACGGAGACAGCAAGAAAGGAGAACTCTCTCAGTGAGTTTTGCAGACGTGGGGAAACTCAGCATTAATAGCTGAAAGTTGTCACAGGGTCAAGGGAGGACGTTTTGATGGAGGCTGTCACTGCATGTTTGTTGCTCACGGGAAAGGTCCAGTACAGACCGAATTCAGGAGTGAGAAGAGATACTTGCTGGTGCCAGGTCTCCCATTTGGGGGGTGGGGAGCAGGAGGCAGCTCGGAGGCAGCAGGATGCTCACCTCTTGTCACAGGGGGACGGGCGGCCCAGGCAGATGCACGAGGCGGCGGGCTGGGAGACGTGGGGACGAGGGGGTGTGGACGTTCTCTTCTGAGTGCTTCTGTTTTAGTACTGAAATGGGAGCGGGGAGAGGCTGTTGGCGCTGTGAAGCAAGGCGACAAAATACTCCCCTGAGACGCAGAGCGTTTCCCGGCAGCCTTCGGGGCTCATCTTTGTGAAGTCGAAGTAGACCAGCCCGCGTGGCTGCCCGTCTTTCCAACCCCGGTCAGAGCTGGGATGCAAGGCTGGAGTCCTGCCAAGTGAGCGTCAAGGTGGGGAGAGAAAGCGAGGGCGTTGGAAGTGCCCCGGGGGCGGGTTACCACTCCAGGGCCAGCCGGAGGTAGTCTGCCCTGGGCGAGCAGCAGTAAAAGGAGCTGGGGCTGCGGCGTGGAGGTCCGGGACGGGTGCGGACGGGCTGGCTCCGGGGCAGCGGGCAGAGCTGGAGCCCAGGGGGTGTCCACACCGGCGAAGGTGGTACTTCCTGGCGACTGCTGGGCCGGGGACGGGGGGTGGGGGCAGCTGAGGGGGAGAGGAAGTCTAGGGACTGAGGGTCTCCATCTCAGAAAGCTCATACTGTGGCAAAGACACTCCCCAAGATTAACGACAGAAGTGATGGTGGAGAGAAAGAAGTGTTAGGTCAGCCATCAGGGAGGAGGGGACCCTGGGGGGGTGTGACCCTGGGGAGATGCGGCCACAGGCGGGCCGTGGGTGGTGGAGCCCCACCTCCGGTTCTTCCAAAGATGCGGGTCTCAGGCAAGTAGCCCTGGGAGAGGGGTCCCTGGCCACGCAGAGCCTGGCACCGGGTAGGGAGTGGAAACCCAGCCCTCTGTCCAGGCCCGCGGGCTGAGGAGAGATGGAGGACTGCGGACCGGCCATCACAGAGGACGCAGGCCCACGCAGCCGGGTGGGCCTGGGCTGCAGCTCTGGCCGGGCCAGGCCCTGAGGCTGTGCCGTCCTGGCTGCGTAGCACCGAGGCTGGAGCCGGGCCCAGGAGCCCAGCATCGTGGCGGCAGCTGTGAGGTGCTCTGGCAGGCTGGTGCTCCCAGCCCGAAGCTGAGGGGCAGGGCCTCCCTGCAATCTTGGGGTCCTTGGCGCCCACTGCCCGGCCACCACTAGCCACATCCACCCGAGGACCCCTCCCCACTCAGGGTCACCAGTGCTGGAGCCCCCACGGGGGTTGCAGAGCAGGGCCGCTGAACCCCCAGCCCCGGTGGGTCTGTCCTTCACCCAAACCTCTGCTCTTGGTCTCCCCTCCCCTGCCCCACCCTAATCTTGAGGCTGGGTCCACCCAGCACAGCTCAAGGCCGTGGGGTGCAGGGGCTGAGCCCGGCTTCTGCGCCCCCAGGACGCCCCAGGCCCTCCCCGCACCTCTCCATCCGCCTCGACTGCAGGCCTGCGAGGGGCCTGGA